ATAGCTATAGAATGTCAATGGTTGCACCAAAGTGAACCAGATAGCTTATATAATGTCAATGGTTGCACCAAAAAGAGCCAGGCAGCTTATAGAATGTCAATGATTGCACCAAAAAGAGCCAGACAGCTTATAGAATGTCAATGGTTGCACCAAAGTGAACCAGTTAGCTTATAGAATGTCAATGATGGCACCAAGGTGAACCAGTAAGCTTACAGAATGTCAATGGTTGCACCAAAGGGAATCAGCTAACTTACAGAATGTCAATGATGGCACCAAGGTGAACCAGTAAGCTTACAGAATGTCAATGGTTGCACCAAAGGGAATCAGCTAGCTTACAGAATGTCAATGATTGCTACAAGGTGAACCAGCTAGCTTACAGAATGTCAATGGTTGCACCAAAGTGAACCAGTTAGCTTATAGAATGTCAATGGTTGTACCAAAGTGAATCAGATAGCTTATAGAATGTCAATGGTTGCACCAAAGTGAACCAGATTGCTTATTGAATGTCAATGGTTGCACCAAAGTGAACCAGATAGCTTATATAATGTCAATGGTTGCACCAAAAAGAGCCAGACAGCTTATAGAATGTCAATGGTTGCACCAAAAAGAGCCAGACAGCTTATAGAATGTCAATGGTTGCACCAAAGTGAACCAGACAGCTTATAGAATGAAAATGGTTGCACAAAAGTGAACCTGATAGCTTATAAAATGTCAATAGTTGCACCAAAGTGAATCAGATAGCTAATGGAATGTCAATGGTTGCACCAAGGTGAATCAGCTAGCTTACTGCACAAAGGTTCCCACCTGTCCCTGAACCAGCCAGCTTACAGAATGTCAATGATTGCACTGGGGTTCACACTTGTCCCTTAACTAGCCCCCTTACAGAACGTCAATGTTAGCACAAAAGGTTCATACTTGTGCATGCACCCACCAGCTAACAGAATATCAATGGTTAAAATAAGGTGAACAAGCTAGCTTACAGAATGTCAATGGTTGCACCAAAGTGAACCAGTTAGCTTATAGAATGTCAATGGTTGCACCAAAGTGAACCAGATAGCTTATAGAATGTCAATGGTTGCACCAAAGTGAACCAGATAGCTTATAGAATGTCAATGGTTGCACCAAAGTGAACCAGATAGCTTATAGAATGTCAATGTTGGCACCAAAAAGAGCCAGACAGCTTATAGAATGTCAATGGTTGCACCAAAAAGAGCCAGACAGCTTATAGAATGTCAATGGTTGCACCAAAAAGAGCCAGACAGCTTATAGAATGTCAATGGTTGCACCAAAGTGAACCAGACAGCTTATAGAATGTCAATGGTTGCACCAAAGTGAACCAGTTAGCTTATAGAATGTCAATGGTTGCACCAAAGTGAACCAGTTAGCTTATAGAATGTCAATGGTTGCACCAAAGTGAACCAGATAGCTTATAGACTGTCCATGGTTGCACCAAAGTGAACCGGTTAGGTTATAGAATGTCAATGGTTGCACCAAAGTGAACCAGATAGCTTATAGAATGTCAATGGTTGCACCAAAGTGAACCAGTTAGGTTATAGAATGTCAATGGTTGCACCAAAGTGAACCAGATAGCTTATAGAATGTCAATGGTTGCACCAAAGTGAACCAGACAGCTTATTGAGTTCAATGGTTGCACCAAAGTGAACCAGACAGCTTATAGAATGTCAATGGTTGCACCAAAGTGTCAACCAGACAGCTTATAGAATGTCTATGGTTGCTGAGAAGTGATAACATTGCAATAACTAAAAAACACAGTCTGTTTTCAACTGTTGGTTGATACATGGGAAACAGATACAGGTAAAAACACAGACACTTGGGGTGTGGAGCTTAAAACGCCTTTAAAATCCAAATAAAATATATATTTGTCAATCCCAGCACATGTACTGATCATATATATTATTATAGACGTTGAAATTTTTTCAAAACGGCTTTTATTAGTTTTTTTTGATATATATGATCAGTACATGTGCTGGGATTGACAAATATATATTTTATTTGGATTTTAAAGGCGTTTTAAGCTCCACACCCCAATTGTCTGTGGGTAAAAAATGAGAAATTGAATAAAGATCAACATTATCAGACATTCAATGACTGTGCAACAGTTGCTAAGAAAAAAGTAATTCAAGTTTATACTCATCATTGTACATCTTAAATTTTGGTGAAGTATAAATACTTGAATCAATAAGTACTAGTATGCTTCAAAGAAAACAAAACAAAAGTTTTATGTTAAGTAATTAATATGCATGCCAAATAAAAAAAATGTTAGGGAAAACTTAAGCTTTGTATCACTCACAGTGAAGCTGCAGTAAGTGATAGGGATTTTATTTCACTTATAAAATCTAATATTTCACATTTGTACAGTTACATCTCATTGTGAAACTTTAGACAGACAGAAAAGTGTACTCAATGACAGTATGAAATAGTGTTTGATCAAAGGAAGACAACTCTTACTCAAAATGTCTTCTATTTCATACCTTCTAATCTAGTTATCTCCCTTATAAAAAAAGAATACAAAAAATGGTCAGAAACCGAATCACACTTCATATTTGTCAGAAACACAATGCTTTCTCATATTAAACAGCAACAGGATCCTACCTCATATTTGACATAAACAGGATTACACTTCTTTTTTTGCAGAAACTGGATTATGCATCCTGTTTGGCAGAATCAAAATCATACAAGATATTTTGCAGAAACAATATGCTACCTCATATTTGGCAGATGCTACCTTGTGATTTTGGCAGAAACAGGATTACACGTATTATTTGATATAAATAAGAATTGCTCCCTTATTTTTACCAGAAACAGAATGTGATTTCAAATTTGATAGAAACAGAGTGCTGCCTAATATTTGACAGAAATATGATTTTTCAGTCACAATTTATTCGACGGCGCATGCACGCGCCGTCTAGTAGACATGCATTTGTTCATACAGCAATGGGGAAAATGTTAGACTTGATTTTGTGCATTTCTTTTGGGTTTAACAAAATCACATTGTTTTCAAATTTTCTAATAAAAATAGCTTTTCTGATGTTCAACATGTCACAGAGCTTACAGGGATTAAAATAAACGTTTATCTGAAGTGATAGTGCCATGTTTAAATATCGTATTCTTTTTATAATTATCTAATTTTATCTACCTAATAAATAACGCGCCAATGAGCCAGTCTATAGTCGATCGGTCTAGTCTAATGACGGGAACTAAATTCTGGCAGGGAACAAGAGGTATCATTAAAATACGCAACGGAGCTTTTATTGGCGATACGGTCTCAGCGGCAAAACAGGCAAAACATGTTCGAAATGTGATTCATAAAAATAATTAACATTTAAAGGAACGCCACTGAGGTTTGTAAGCCTAAAAACATAAAATTTTAATTTTTCACATAGATAAACATGAGCACTTAAAACAGAAATATAAATAAAATATAACCAAGAAATATACAAGAAATACATTGAAAATCATATGTTTGTGCTATTCTCAGTCCGATTTGAGTGTTAAACGTTGAAACGCTTTTCAATTTTGGGTCATTTTTCACTATTATAATAATTATTCTGGAAAAACGAAGGGAGCTAATGATCTAAAATTTTGCACATATGTTATTAGTATAGATCTACATCAACTGGAGTAATAATCTCAAAAAATTATTTCCAGTCCCGTCATGTCAAAAAACCTCAGTGCCCTTTAAGTTATAAAACAGATTATCTACATTGAAAAAAAGTATGTTTATTTTAAAACGTATCACAAATATTTGCAATAGGTTATTTTGAAGGAGTCTGTGACTGACGATTGTTCTCTTTCACCTTGATTTTTTACTAAATAAAAAAAAAAAATACGTAACTAAGAATTGATTATATTATATTATATTATATTATATTATATTATATTATATTATATCATATCATATCATATCATATCATATCATATCATATCATATCATATCATATCATATCATATCATATCATATTATATTATATTATATTATATTATATATTATTATATATTATTATATTATATTATGAATTATATTATATTATAATCAATTCTTAGTTACGTATTGTTTTCTTATTTATAAAAAAAGGGACAGTTCGTCCTCAAATTCATTCAAACGAACATTATGCAATTCGCACCAATTGGTGCATATCGGCACATATTGTCTTGAATTCATTTTGAGTTTACCAATCATTTCAATTTTTCTTGTTATCTAATTTATTTTGCTTCGACCAGACGTTTCAATCATTGTTGCAAAAGACAAACATTTCAGACTTCAGACACATAACAAGAACATGGAGAAAAAATTGATTAGTGCTTCGGATATTCAACTGTAATAGAGAACGATTTTCAATTCAGATTTTGTACATTACCTGTGACTGTTCACATCATTTGGCGGCGTCTTTGATATGCAGCATCAACATTTAACTTGTAGAAGTCTTATATATGATTTACCATATGATAATGCCCCAAGCAGAACCTCAAATACTATATAATGTATCTCACTGATACAGGATAGTGTATTTTGGTAAAAACAAAGATAATAAAATAAATATTTGAAAAATAAAATGTGTGAATACATTATGTACAACATCTGGCAGACTTTCTCTGTATATTCAGGAATCCTCACTTGGAACTAGTCTAGCTACATGTATTTGATTGGGTTTTGAAAATGTGACTCATTTAATGAACAATGCTATCAAAAATAGTCAAACCATTATTTGTTATTTGGAAAAAGTCATAAATAATAAAACAATATTATTGATGAATTTAATAATGTAAGTAGGACTGATTTATTTGCAGAGTACCGACTTTAATAGCTTTCTAAGCTAGATTTCGTTTTAATTTTTATTAAAAAGAACAATTTAGTTTTGCATCAATGGATGTGTTATTATTTTGTGACTGATAATTATACTGTTCAAACTGGCATCTAATATAATTTAGGAGGAACGCATGTACGGGCCTCAATAAATGTAAACTAATTTTACGACGTGCCATTATCACAGCGTCACCGATAGCAATGGAGGAAAAGTCGAACGAAAGAAATGAATCAACTTTGACATGAATATGAATGAAAAAGTCGTGTGGTACAATAGTTTGCTATTAGATATTTAAAGATTCGATATATGGGATTTATTTTCATAACTTTCTAAGTGCTAAGTTTTCAGAAGCAGTTCTTTTGAGCAAGAAAAAGAAAATATTTAAAAAAAAATAGAAAAAAAAATGTCGCAACTAACGGAATTTTGATCTCGAATTTATACTTGTCAACATTTATGATACTGATGAAATTTTTTAATGGATTCTCCGGAATTTACACTGAAATCATCAGGAAGGATGCAGCAAACTAGAAAGTTTGTGTATTTAATTTTACTTCATACAGGTAAGTTTACAGTCACAGGTGTAACAGGTATGCTAATTAAATTAATTATAAATGCTAAAACAAGGTTAATTGTGGTTGATACAAAATTTAAAAGATGTATGTAATGAACATAGTAGCCTTTTTGGTCATTTATGAACCAGGTATTTTAAAATTTGGATCCCACCCCTAGTGTAGTGTGGTGAAAATGAGCCACATTTTTCCGTTTCCATCTATTACTTTTGCCTGTCATAGCAATGCTTTTGTATTAGCACTAAATACAAGAAATAGGAAGGGATATGTCAAACTCACTATGTAGGGACATTTAGCAGATATTTTACCATCTGATAATCCCCAAAGGAGAGGTCCTTGGTTATCTAAAAGTCAAAGTCAGTAGAATTAAATGGCATTCCATTCACATTGTATAATACTTTAGAGGTTGTCTTCTATAAAATAAATAAGATACCATTGAAAAAAAGTCTAAAAGATTATTTGTTTCAAGTGATAAAGAGCTGAATCTAAAAAATACTTTAAGTTTAAATCAAGTAAATAGGTCATTTATTACAGGGTTCTCGTGGACGCTTATTTCGGCGTCCCGGTATGCATGTTTATTACAGCTGGACGCAAATATTTCAGAGCAAGGATTCCGCGTAAGCTTAATTTTGCCTGGGGACGCATAAACATAACCGATTGTTTACAACCATAAAATACACAAATACGTCAGCGCGTGTCAGTCTAAAGGTAGGCGGTCCTATGCACATCGACCAGTGAAGCGATTATCCAATCAGCGATAACGCTTTCGATCATTATCACAAGATAGAGATCAGACTAATGTATACACGCACTTTACACGTAATTACCAGATATAACACGAGGTGATAATTTTTTATCTTTGATCAACAGTTGATTGGAAATTAGCAAATTTTACCGACAAAAGAATTAACTATTGACTATTTACGCCGCAAGTTTTAAAACTGTTTTCTCACATTACAAATGAGTGTAATTTTGAATTATTGTCGAATATTTTCGGCATTCTCTAGGCACAACTTTGCTTTAGTTTCATTCTTGCAAAAAGTTCTATAAGAGTATTAAGAATTTAAGATAGATAGCGTGCCGAAATGCCAAGACAACAAACCAAAATACACATACGCTTTTCTTTGATTTTTAGATTCTATCCGAAAATTGATCCCGAACATCGGCGATTTCACGTTAGCTAGAAACCCTCAAATTTCGCAAAGGGCACAAAAATTCTCAGTTTCCAAGCTAAATATGTGAATGAATTGTTCCTTTGTTATTTAATCAATATTAAATCTTAAATATCGATCTTCAATTTGCCCCCTTTGGAAGATATTTGCTAAAATAATTGTCGATCGGATGAATCTCTTACGCACTGTGTGAAGCTGTACACGATTTTCCTATTCATTCTGCTAAACGCTGCCTATATACATTAACGTTTTGTTTTTTTTTGTTTTTTTTACAAATATAAACTTTTGGTCTTAAGAGTGGAACTTTTTTACCAGAATAAAATTTGATTTGGTATAAAAGTGAAGTTGATGCATTATAATTTTATTGTTTCATATAATAAATATTAACAACAAAACAATACTTATACTATGTAGTTCAGAGTTTGTTTTGAATTACTATAAACTTTTAAAGTCTCTTGAAGATTCAAAATATCAGCAATGCTATTGTCAGCATAAAATGACTAATCTGTAAACATATTAATTGCGACGAGCTTTTGGACTCCAACTTTTTCAGGCTTGGGAGTCCATGGACTCCATGTTGTGAAGTCCTAATGAGAACCCTGTATTATATTTTGATATTATTAATCATTCTTACACCCAGACTGATGGATAAAAACAAGTATGCAATCAGTCAGGCACATATTTATTAGTAACAGAAACTTTTTCCCTTTTAGGAATTGTAACTTGAGAACAAAATTACACTGGTCATTAATGTACAACTGCCATTTATAGCATGCAAGTGTGTTGTGTTTTGTGTTATATAACCTACATGTAACACTTCATTGATCTGACAGTAAATTTACTTTCATCTTTTAGTGGTCACATATACTTAGATATGCTCCCACATGTTGGCACTAGAATTTGAAACTGTGTGTCTTAATACTTTATTCCTTTACTCTCGGTAAAAAAAGTAATTATGAAATAAAACATATATTGAAGAGATATGTGAGTTTAAAATACACTCATAATTTGGGAATCTGGTAGCATTAACAATATACAAAAATATATTATATATTATATAAATATATATTTGCAAAAAGAAATTTGTACAAGGTCATTGAAGTCACAAAAAAATTGCATTTGTTACAACTTAATGTGACCTACAATGTTTCATTATATTTTTTTATGTAAAGTTAACTTATGTTTTATTCTGTTTTGTTTACATACTAAGGTAGATATTATATAAAATGACTGTTTTAACATATTGAGTCACCAAGTACCTTATTGTAATGAAGAAATAAATTGTTGTCACGGCTGACTGGGCTTCCATTAATCTAACACTGGAAGTCACATGGACCTTTCCGGTTTTTCGTAGCGGAACATTTAGCCACACCTTTTCCATTCATTGCTAGGTCAACTGCTCACAAACAGTATCACAAACATAAGCACGTGCTCTTTCGTGCAAACCAGGTCAACCAGTGACTTTGTATTATCTCAGTGTAGCGATTGGATAACAAGTTAGCCAATTTACATAAAACTGTAAACACCGGAAAGGTCCATTATATAGGTAAAGAAGGAAGAGGGTTATGTTTGGAAGTAACAAGGTGAAATCAGAAGTAAATGACTCTCTGATTTCCACTAATGGAAGCCTGGTCATGAATGTGATTCAGAAAACCACCTTGTTAATATAACTTTTAACATGACATTGTATTTCTTGAATGTTTCAGTTTTGGCAGACCCTTACGCATCTATGACTCGACATAAGTATGCATGTTACAGCCCGGACCACTGCCATTCAAACCTCTATTCCATCGAATGTTCCTCAGAGGAGAAAATTGCCATGCACGGAGTAAGTTACGGAGCCAAACCTTATACCTCATACTGCCCTAAAACACAAATGTGCTTGAATAAAAACTTGTGCTGCAGACATGAGCCAGGAGACTGTCTGGTACCCATGAATGATTCTGCGTTAGTTGAGATATACAGAGAGTGTTCACATACGACTCAGTGTGGTTGGTTGTTTGCTTCATCAACAGAACTAGAGGCCAATTGTAAAATACGTGACAGATCCAACTATATAAAAGCTGACTACCATTGTATTCATGGTAAGTAAGAACTGTTTATATATCTAGTTAGGTTAGTTTATATGAATTTATTTTAGTTTGATTGTGTTAGAATTGAAAATCTCTAAAATCTGTTCATGGAACCAACCAGTACTTAGCAATGAGTGTAAAGTTTATTGCTCACTGAAACAGCGGTGTGCCCCTGACAAGGTTTGAACCCATGCGGCCAGCAATCCTTAGAATACTAGTCAAACGAATTAACAAAGCAGCCACACCACCACTCTAATATCTAGTTAGCTTGAGTGTTCTGAGATTACAGGATACACCTCAATTCTACTGTTTCATAATATTTTTTTTTTTCTTGAAATTTTACAACATACAGATGCTATTAATGATGCCTGAAATCTTCCCTGACGTGGGGTGTATTCAATCTTGTTGAACTTTAAAGAGAGGATTAAGATTTTTTGTTAAAATTAACCAGGATGAAATTTTCTTTTATATTTTAAACCTGTTGTACAGCAGATTTGTTTCCCAGAATTTGGTATATTGAAAGCTTACATTAAATAATTAGATAACTTAATTAGATTGAAGTTTGTAAAGCTTATTTCTCAAATATTGCTCTAAATGTTTCACTGAAAATCTGCACAGAATGAGTTTAAATTTTACCTATAATAAAAATCGGCTCATAAAAATTATATTCAACAGATGGCTGACATAATTTTTTTATCTTATATTTTCTATCAAAATTGAGAATGAGAAAAGAATTTAAATCATTTATTACAAACATTGTTTGCTATGTAAATAGGTTGCTCCTTCTTTTATATATTGCTACTGTTTTGTTATTTATAATGTTATTTTACATAAATTCTATAAAAATGAGTTATGCAGTTGACTTGATTTTACATTATTCACATTTTGATGATTTATAAGAGCACTTTATTACCACTGAACATTTTATTAAAGTGGCTTCAGATGTGAAAATTTCCCATAAATTAAAGTGAGTAAAGCTTTGATACTGATACATGTCAGGGTTTTCTTCCAGTTACTTTTTTGAAATTTTATATCATACATGTATATGTTTCCCATTACTAAATATGATTTACAAATCTTGTGTAACAAAGTGTTTAACCCTAAACCATTTTGACAGCTCTAGAGTTTTTGCAATATCTTGACTACTCGTCCGGAAAGAAAGGACAAATGGTCGCAAAATTAAAAAAATACATCAAGTAGTAATGATATATAACAAGCAAAAAATGCTTCTAACAATAATGGCCATACAGATAAAGATCTAAATGTAAAGACCGAAATAAAAATCCCTCGCCTTGCCCGCTCATTATTTTCATGGTTGATACGCCACTTTCCATGATTAATGTAAATAGAGTTACAGCTACACTAAGTTTAGATTTAAAGTAAACAGATTATGTATATGCCATTCACAGTTATACAGATCAGTAACTATATAAGTAGAAAATTGGTGCTGCAGGTGTCTATTTTTCTGGTTATTAATTGTCAGGTTGTTTTTGCAACAGTTGCGTTTAAAGTGATGAATCTAAGGCAGTTATACTGCAAGATTTTTATATATAACTGCAGCATATAGTCTTTTCATGTCAGTAAATGATAAATAATTCTAATGTTACTGTGTGAAAGTTTGATAGTGAAATGTTTAAAGCTACATGTAGGTCAAAATATTATCTCAGTGAAGAAATGCAGATATAAGTATGGTTTAATATAGGAACATAGTTCAAAACACACAGCAATGTAGGTTACATAATAGTAACTCTCAGATCTGGCATTGATGATGCCAGTAATAGAGTCATATGCCATTTTTTTTACTTTTCTGTTGTATTGTGGTTTGTTACTAACTTTCCCTGGTTGGAAACTATTATGATTAACCTCTGCCACCAGTATAGTGCTCTGTAATGTTAGAATCTCAAGTATTATATTTTGATACTGATCTATATAGGTAGATAGATAAGTTCACAAGGCTTCAGGTAACTTCAGTACACACAGTTTATCTCTACTGCATATTCTCAATATATCACATGGTCTTTTTTACCGAAGATACAAAAAAGTATGATTGAAATAATATAGAAAGCACACTGGGATGCTATGGTTATTATTTAACATGTTCTAAAATCTATTAAAATAGTGCCTTTAACACAAGTAAAATCCCCTACATTTAAAGAAAAATACTACAAATGTTTGTGTTTTGTGTAGTTTAAATCATTTGTTACAACTTAATTTTGAAATATTTCACAACAAAAATAATTATAATCCTTTACACGACATATTCTGATTCGTGTATCTCTTTTAATATGCACCAGTAAAACAGGTGTCGAATATAATTTTATAGCAATATTACATTACCTTAATAAATTACATAATTATGTAATGCAAGTGATACATACTGCCTGTGTAGCATTCACTGAAAACAGTACTTTTGTATTAATGTAAAACTTACAAATTAATGCACAACCTGTAATGTTTCCAAGGCAATATTTATAAACTGTGATTTACAATTAAATGCATATTGAAGCTTTAGATATTTTACAAACAAAAAATGAAGAAAGACAATTACTGCATTGTGTTTAAACAAAAAAAACCTTTATTATCTATACTTAACATTTTGATAGTTTTGCAAGGTTTTTGTCACCATATGAATTTATGTAACTGTATGCAGAGGGATAGTTTCCCATGACAAAATATTTTCTTTCATTTGAATTTTTATGGTGATGACATTTTAAGTGTATGAAATGTAATTTGATGCATATGATATGGTAGTAAGATATTAAAGTACACACAGTAACACACTAAAGCTGGGTCAGACAGTACATCTTTAAATAAAATGTGTAGCTTACAGCTGCTTATTAAAGGGTCTGTAAAACCTAAATATTGCTAATACTTGCATATTCATGACCACACTGTTAAAAGCAATTTGTCCACACTAACTGTACTGTCAACTGCTAAATCATGCAATCTGACCTCACTCTGTACTGTCAGCTACTAAAAATCATGCAATCTGACCACTGTCAGCAGCTAAATCATTCAACCTGACCGCTGTCAGCTGCTAAATCATGCAATCTGACCAATGTCAGCTGCTAAATCATTCAATCTGACCACTGTCAGCTGCTAAATCATGCAAACTGACCACAATCTGTACTGTCAGCTGCTAAATCATGCAATCTGACCACAATCTGTACTGTCAGCTGCTAAAAAACATGCAATCTGACTACTGTCAGCTGTAAATCTTGCAATCTGACCGCTGTCAGCTGCTTAATCATTCAATCTGACACTGTCAGCTGCTAAATCATGCAATCTGACCACTGTCAGCTGCTAAATTATTCAATCTGACCACTGTCAGCTGCTAAATCATTCAATCTGACCACTGTCAGCTGCTAAATCATGCAATCTGACCGCTGTCAGCTGCTTAATCATTCAATCTGACACTGTCAGCTGCTAAATCAGGCAATCTGTCTATAATCTGTACTGTCAGCTGCTAAATCATGCAATCTGTCTATAATCTGTACTGTCAGCTGCTAAATCATAAATCTGATACTCTCTGTACTGTCAGCTGCTAAATTGTGCAATCGACCTTACTCTATACTGTCAGCTACTAAATAATGGAATCTCACTGTAATCCATGCTGTCAGCTGCTAAATCATTCAATCTGACCACACTCTGTAATGTCAGCTGCTAAATCATAAAGTCTGACCATATTCTATCCTGTCAGCTGCTTAATCATGCAATCTGAGCACACTCTGTACTATCAGCTGCTTAATCATGCAAGCTGACCACACTCTGTACAGTCAGCTGCTAAAAATCATGCACTCTGACTTTAATATGTACTGGCAGCTGCTAAATCATGCAACCTGACCTCATTCTGTACTGTAAGCTGCTAAATTATACAATCTGACCACACTCTGCACTGGCAGCTGCTAAATCATGCAAGCTGACCACACTCTGTACTGTCAGCTGCTAAAATCATGCTCTCTGACTTTAATATGTACTGGTAGCTGCTAAATCATGCAACCTGACCTCATTCTGTACTGTCAGCTGCTAAATCATGCAATCTGACCACAATCTGTACTGTCAGCTGCTAAATCATGCAAGCTGACTACACTCTGTACTGTCAGCTGCTAAAAATCATGCAACCTGACCTCATTCTGTACTGTCAGCTGCTAAATTATACAATCTGACCACACTCTGCACTGGCAGGTGCTAAATCATGCAAACTGACTATTATCTGTTCTGGCAACTGTATATACATGCAATATGACTGTATGAGTTAGGTAATATTTGTGATGATGGGGGGGTTAAGTTTAACATATTGAAAATAGGCTTCCATGGACTGCTTAATTTTGATTGTATGTTAAATTAAGTGTTCAAATCCCAGATTAAAATATGTCTTTCTTGTGAATATTAAATGAAAATAATATTTTTTATGTTCCTTGTGAAATGTTTAAAATCAAATGTCATCATTCGTGATTTTATTCACAATATTGTAATGGTAACAATATATGGTATTATAAAACATATGCTCAAACTAGAACATAACAACTTTAACATGTACTTTAACATTTTATAATAAACATTGTTTTAGAACAGACAATTGAAGGATGTGACATTTTCAACATGATATTGTTTTTCTCAATGTAATGTACATGCATTAAATATCATTATGTTTTTACAAAGAGATAAATTTGACTAGATTATTATATATATATCAAAGCGTTTAAAGGTTGTGAGATATAATGTATTATTGTGAGGGAGCATAAATTATATGACTAATTTAAGTATATATGTCAGGTTATTGTTTTGTTACTACAGAGGTTATGTTAGCATTTGTCAATGCTTAAAAATATCAAATAAAAAATTTATTGCATTTTTAAAACAAATTAGTCACCATTGGAAAAAGTTGACCATTGTAAAACTTTAAATCAGTGTTTAACTCTAAATCAGTATTTTATTTTCATTTATATTTAGTCAAAATTTATTGTTATTGTTTATACAAAGTACCAGAATTGGGTTAAATCCATGGTTAA